TCATCCGTTTGCTTACCTCTTGACTTTCATCCGTTTGCTTACCTCTTGACTTTCATCCGTTTGCTTACCTCTTGACTTTCATCCGTTTGCTTACCTCTTCACTTTCATCCGTTTGCTTACCTCTTGACTTTCGTCCGTTTACTTTTTTTGTTTCTGTCCATCTATCTTGCTCTTCCCAACACATCGGGACCTCAGTGCTTTCTTGTCATATCTCCATTTTTAATAACAGTGAAAACAGTTCATAACAAAGAGGGAGCTTATGAAGAAGTCACATTGTCAATATTAAAAAAGAATGGAGATACGACAAGAAAGCACTGAGGTCGCGACATACTCAACTGACTTTTATCATGACAAGTTGCTCCTCTTTACTCTAAGCACTCTCTGCTGTCTTTACTCAAAGCCCTCTCTTCTGTCTTTACTCAAAGCCCTCTCTGCTCCTCTTTACTCAAAGCACTCTCTGCTCCTCTTTACTCAAAGCACTCTCTGCTCCTCTTTACTCAAAGCACTCTCTGCTCCTCTTTACTCAAAGCACTATCTGCTGTCTTTACTCAAAGCACTCTCTGCTGTCTTTACTCAAAGCACTCTCTGCTCCTCTTTACTCTAAGCACTCTCTGCTCCTCTTTACTCTAAGCACTCTCTGCTGTCTTTGCTCAAAGCACTCTCTGCTGTCTTTACTCAAAGCACTCTCTGCTCCTCTTTACTCAAATCACTCTCTGCTCCTCTTTACTCAAAGCACTCTCTGCTGTCTTTACTCAAAGCACTCTCTGCTCCTCTTTACTCAAAGCACTCTCTGCTCCTCTTTACTCAAAGCACTCTCTGCTCCTCTTTACTCAAAGCACTCTGCTGTTGTTCGTTTGCAGGAATAATTGAAGAGAAGAAAGAACACCACATGGGATTTTTCCAGGGCATCAAGCTTGTGTTCACGTTCAAGCCGTACTTATGGGCGTCCTTGACCTTTCTGTGTCTCACAATCGCCATTCAGGTAAGTGCTGCACTTAAGAAAGAACTTTTTTTATAATGACAAGCGTGTTGGAATGATTCATTTTGAATCTTTCCATGCTGAAGGGTTTCTGTGTTTTTGCCTGACTAGTGTGTTGTAAATGTGGCAGGTTGATGGTGGTCTTAGAGTGGACAGTCACAGGACGTATTTTTCCAAATAAAGTTGATATGTTATACGTCAAAGTAAAGACAAAAAAATTACAACACTAGAGGATAGAGTCTGAAAAAAAAGTAGAATTGTAATCATCTTCTTTTCTTGGACAGTGCACTTTACAGCAAAGACTACACATACCTCTTGTTTAATTCATCATTGAAAAAATACTGAACTACTTGAAAAAACTTGAAGACTTTCTTTCTTACTCTAGCGTTGTCTCAAATGAGAGAAGTGTTAAAAGACGCTAGCAAAAGAAAAAGTCAGGGAAACCCTTCAAAGTGTTTTGCTTGGTTAAAAAAAAGCAACAAAAAGCTATCATTGTTTTGCATACTCCACCATATGCAGCCTGTTGCAAAATGCACTTTTGGAAGGGAAGTTAAAGACTGCTATTATCAGAAGAATGTTTTTGACTAATACTTTATTGTTAATGTTAATGCACTAGATCCCTCTCTGGAAGCTGAGAATGTTTTTGAGTGATCTATGGTCTTCTGGGGGTAATAATGTAGTGTAAAGCGCATAGAGCTTGCTGTCGAGCGGGGTTTTGGGCTGTACAAATGTTATTTATTATTATTATTATGATTATTATTATTATGATTATTATTATTATTATTATTATTATTATTATCATTATTATTATTATTATTATTATTGTTATCATTATTATTATTAATGAAGAAAAAAAATGTTTCATATTTCTGTGAAGTTTGACTTTCTTAGAAACTCCAGGGAAACATTTGTGATCATCTAAATTGACTTTTGCACTTTTGCTTCCATCGTCTGACAGTTTTCCGCACTGTAATCGTTTTGTTGATGAGTTTGTGGCCAGTGGAGCTAGAGTCTTTTACAATTTCTTGGTAACATTTTCCTCAGATTGTCCAGGGCAACGTCGCCTTGTTCTGCACACACACGCTCAAGATGGGAGAAGATTTCTCTTTCTTCATTCTTGTGCTGCTGGTAAGTGCCTGCCGGTGATTGGGACGTTTAGCTGTCTTGTGCAACGTTTTTTACCTATGATTCAGCTCACAGCGGCTGACTGTCTCCTGTTTTTTTATGCAGAGCCGCTCAGATCTGTTCTTATCTATCGCTCCCTTTGTTTTAGTTTTAGTTAGTGTTTTACGGCACTTGCAACACAATAAGGTCATATAAGTGCCGAAGATTAGAGGTGTTACAAGAGAGAGTTTGTTTTTTTTAAGTAGAGGGTTTTACGGCCCTCGCAACTGCATAAGGTCATATGAGCGCCAAGGGGTGGGTATCAACAGAGAAGTCTTTACAGGGAATCAGGCTTACTCTGCTCACCTCTCTAGCTTCAACAGCACTAGGTCTGCTTGACTATCAAGGCACCCTGGAAATAGCAGGTCACAAGAGAGTGACAAACATACAAAATAAGTAGAGGAAAAATGACAATAGTAAGGATCAGGAAAGAAAAAGCAGCAGTTCCCTGTCGTAGATCAGGCACAGTTATGAGCGTGACATTGATGAGTCAGCCTATTTACAATTCTACTGTGCTTGAACGAGAAATGTCCCCCTTTGGGAATGGCGTAAAGACACTACAGTCAGTGGCACTGCCCCGGGTGTCTAAGAGAGAGTAACAAACACAAAAAAGAAGGAGGAGAGATAAAGGCGATAGACGTTTGATAGGAAAGAAGAAATTTTGAATTTTGCCCGGGTGGCGGCCGAAGCCTACTATCGATTTTGAACCACCAAGGATCTTTAATGTCGCAAATTGCACTCTGGACCTCCGAGATTGTTCGCCCTTGTTTGAGAACACTAGATGGAGATCTTTCCTACCAGAAGATCAGGGATGTGGCTGAAAGACAGCAGTAAGAAAGGAGCCAAGGAATAGCAGTAGAAAGGCTGCAGAAAGAGTCAAGAGCCCAGAGGAGGGGACATAGGAGGTGAAGGGATGGGGGCAGAATGTGGAGGCGAAAGCAGACGACAGAACATGGCTAGAGAGCAGGAAAATAAAGAGCCAGAACTTGATTTCCCCTGAAAATACGAAAATCTCAAATATGGTATCGCAGAAGGAAAGTTTTTAAGTTTTTATCTCTGTTTATAGTACATTATGGTCTTGAACATTGGAGGTTTCCCTTCTGTTGTGTTTGTGAATGATGAAATTAGAAACAATATGAGGTTTCAGCCGCCACCTGGGCAAAATTCGAAATTTTCTACCAACTGAAAAAGTTTAATGTGTCCCGCGCGCTCACATGACCTTATGCAGTTGGGAGCGCCGTAAAACACTTACCCAAAAAATAAAAAAAAACCCAGTATGGTTTTTGTCTAGAAAAGATAAGTGTGTGTTCGTCAAGGAATATGTGTGTTATGTTATGCTCTCGTTTCTTATCTTCAGTTTATGTCTTTCAAGACAGTCAAATCCTGACAGTGACATTGACCTAAGAGACCATAAATGCTCTATTTATTACTATTACTATTATTATTATTTTTATTTTTATTTTCATTACTATTATTATTATTATTACTACTACTATTATTATTATTATTGTTATTATTTTGTTATTATTATTATTATTGTTATTATAATAAAAATAATATTAATGATTATTATTGTCATTACTAATCATCTCAATTATTATTATTATTATTATTATTATTATTATTATTATTATTATTATTATTATTATTGCTATAATAGTCATCCTTAATCATCTCATTTCTCATTTTCAGGTTGTGTCTATACTTTCGATGCCGTTCTGGCAGTTTATATCTGTGAAGTTTGGCAAGAAAAAGGCTTATGCAGCTGGAATGATGGTATGTTGACTAAGACAGCGACTGTTTTAAAAAAAATCTCTTTTGTTCTCTGGAGTTTGACTTCATTTAACAGAGTGCTTATTTTTGCGGATGAATTATCCAGAATTTTGGATTTCTAAAACAGTCTAGACTTTGCTCCCAAGTGCTCACTGGTGATCCCCACCTCCTTCCATCGCAACTATCTCGACTTCGATTCTAGTTAAATTAATGGAAACCAAGGCAGGCAAATGGACAACCTTTATTTAAGATGATACCAATAACTCTGTATACCCCAAAATTGACGAGCGTCTGATTCCATTGCGTCGTGACACTACTAATACGTTTGTGAGGCGCTGTGGAGAAATCAGGCGCTCGTCAAAATAACGAAATTGGAGAAACAGACATTCTCCCATCAGTTTTGCAAAATTAATCAAATTTTTTTGGTTTTTTGTTTAACGCTTTTATTTCCAAATAGAAACACATTTTTAGATCTATGTGAATTGTATTAACAAACATTTATTAAAAGCTCAAAATGTGTTTTCAGTTTTCAAGGATTTTTTAACTATTGAAGTTACCAAAATTTGGCGGCCATTTTCTTGCTATTTTTAGTGCTGAAACTAAGTGAATCTACCTCTTTCTGTCACATATCCTGTCCCTGTGGTTTTATACCAAAAAAATTATGAAATTATGCAAACTGAGCCCAAAAATGTGAAATAATGTAATTCTATTAATTTTGTCAAAGAATGATATGGAAAATAATCAGAAATTATGCAAAAAATGATCAAATTTTGCTAAATTATTCGGGGTGCATAAACACAGGGACAGTCTATCACAAATATCTTCACTTCTGCACAAGATAAAAGTAGTTTCTTTTCTTTCCCCAGCTGATGATTCCCGTGTTCACCTCCCAGCTGTTCCTCCCAGCCAACGTCAAGTGGCTGTACTACGCCCTCATGGTAGTCGCTGGATTGGGCATCTCGGTGGCCTTGCTGTTGCCATGGTAACTATGTACACATCGTTAATGTTGGGCTGTTTGTTGTGGGTTGTGAAGGAAATACAAATGCTTTTTTTAAAAAGTAAATTTGGCGCTTATATGACCTTATGCAGTTGCGAGGGCCTTAAAACCGCATCTAAAACTAACAAAAAAGTAAATAAATGTAGGTGTTTTTACAATCCTTTGCCTACAGTTTAGATCTTTTAGGAGGCAGGCCTTGACCCTGGCTATCAGCAGGTATGCCAAATCTCAGCTTTTTCAGGCTTTTTCAGGTTGGTTTTTTTTCAAAAATCATTTGGCATTCCTGAAGAAGAAGGCCACTGACATAAGGTCCTTCTTCTCACTCAAGACAGATAAAATATTACTGGAATTGGGGGAACAAAGTCCCCCATACCCTTGTAAAGGGAAGGGGGGAGGTAAGAGAGATGTTTTTGTGTGCTCAGTGAAAAAATTTACAAGGTTTGTTTTAGGTGAGATGTGAGACTCTGCTCCTTTTCAGAGTTTTTTTTCCAAAATCATTTGGCATCCCTGTATCAGGGCCAACCTGGGCCGAGAGGGAACAACATTCCAGGGAAAAGACAGAGATGCACAGGAGTCGAACTTGGGTATTAAACATGCAAACTGTGCAATCGCCTTTGGAGTTCAAAACAAAAATATGAGGCCAAGCGAAAACCAGCACTCTCGCTCAAAGACTCCCACATCACCTTCAACTCTAACCCCACCTTACTTGGGGTCACACTTGACCGTACTCTATCCTCCAACGCCCACATCCAAAACCTTGAGCTAAAACTGTCAAGCAGACTTCGACCATTGAAAGCCCGTATAGGCACCACCTGGGGTGCGTCAAGGGAATGCATAAAGCCATAAAGCCTAGTGACAGAAATATGCAATGTTTGACTCATGATAAGAGATATGTGCACAACCTTCACCTATTCATTATGGAAACTTTATTGATGAAGTGAATGTTTTGTGCGAAGTGATGTGTGCCAATGGCCTTAAACACTGAATAAACTTACTTACTTACTTACTTACTTACTTACTTACTTACTTACTTACCTACCTACCTACCTACCTACCTACCTACCTACCTACCTACCTACCTACCTACCTACCTACCAACCTACCAACCTACCTACCAACCTACCTACCTACCTACCTACCTACCTACCTACCTACCTAAGACAACCACTATTCTTCCTCCTGGACGATGGGTTCCCCTCGTGGACAATTTCGACTGTACCTATTTTTGTCTCCTGTGCGTTACCAGGTCTGTGCTGCCTGATGTGATTGACCTGTATATGCTGGAGAGGAACGCGCGCCATGACGCACTCTTCTACTCTTTCTACGTGTTCTTCAACAAGCTGGCAGCTGGCATTGCTTTGGCTGCCTCGCAGTTAGCGCTTGAGTAAGTAATATTAGAGATAGCAACCTTGAGTACTTTGTTTCATCTTTGTAGGCTTATACAGTTAGCGCTGGAGTAAGTAGTGTCAAAGTTAGCAACCTTGAGTAGTTTGTTTCCTTATCTTTGTATACAGTTAGCGCTGGAGTAAGTAGTGTCAAAGTTAGCAACCTTGAGTAGTTTGTTTCCTTATCTTTGTATACAGTTAGCACTTGAGTAAGTAATATCAGAGTTAGCAAGGGGACGTTGAAATATAATCTTACGCCTGGAAAGGTGGGGGGGGGGGGGGGGAAGGGGTCTTTGGCTCCTGTAAGAAAAGTGTAAGACTGGGCCACCCGACGTATATCTGCTTGTCTGCGGGGATGTTGTATCCCACTCAGACGAGGTGGACCCTGGCAGGTGGGGTTGAAACAGCCTACCACCTAAATTGCCTAAATTGTGTGAATGGGGGTGTAAAACCTTACAGTTACCAAATGAAGAGGAGGATAAAATAAGATCAGATAGATACGATAAGATACATCTTTATTGTCCAGATCCTGGCACATTGGTTTGGTGTTTCACCACATACACACTCACACACACACATACACACACACACTCACACAAACATGCACACACACGCACAAACATGCACACACACGCAGGCTTACAGTCGCATGCATAATATAAATGAACAGTAATATAAACAATAATATAATAATGTTAAATAGGAAAATTTATGTAGAATTTTACTAATGAAGTGTTTATTGTACCTGTGCGGTATTTCAGGTTTGGCGGCTATGTCACAGGAGAGTGTCACCAACCCAAGGAAGTGTCGCAGACGCTGCGTCTGTTGGTCACGCCGGGCCCCGTTGTCATGGTGATCCTGGCTCTCATTGCCCTCTACTACTATCCAATCGATGAGCACCTGCGGAGGAGTATAAAACACCGACTCCAGGAATTTGAGTGAGTTGGCTAAAACAGCACCTGGACATGGATGGCTGGTGCCTCTATAAATAAATCATTGATGGTCAAGGTTTGAGTGAGTTGAAAAGCCGTTTACCGTTTGACTCACCTGAGCCTGATGCGCTATTTTTCTCCCAACAACCACTGCAGCCTGGCAGTTTTAATAATAATAATAGATAGCATTTGTATAGCACAAATCCCCGCTCAACAGCAAGCTCTATGCACTTCAGAATCTATACTATTACCCCAGCAGACCCGAGAGCATTCTGAAACAAACTCAACTTCCTGGGAAGCATACAGTGCAAGCAGCCATTTATAGGCGCTAAAACACTAACATACTGACAAGATCTTTCGCTGTCAATGGACGGGTACCCATTTCCACCTGGGTGAAGTGAGGAAAATTCGGGTAAAGTGCCTTTCCCAAGGACACAACGTGGGGCCTGCGGCTCGAACCCCTGACCCCGCAACCTCTCTATTGCAAGTCCGGTAGCCTAACCACTAGGCCACCGACGCCACTATATACTGAAATGTGACCACAAAAAGACGCTGAAAGTTGTCACAGTAAAAACAATGCAACTTAAGAAAGAAGCAGAGGTGAAGCGTGCTGACAATATGAGCTACTTCTCCGATTCAAGCCGTAAGGAAATAGATACATCACGCTTATTTAAAGGTGAAGTTTTTACAACTTACAAGTATGAAATAATGAAAGACAGGTTATAGTTAAAGAATATGGTGTCAATAGAAAATCTACTAATTTGACCCTAATGTCGATTTTTGGCCAATATCTCAATTTGTGGATTGGGAGAAGTAACTCATTTTGTCAGCACACCTCACAAATACTCTCTCTCTCTGTCAGAAAAAGAAAACAACTGCATAAAATTTGTTTGAACAGTTTTTATTTTATCAATATTTTGAAATCGCAATGTCTGGGGGTTACGCGATTTTTTTTTCACCCAATTTATAATAAAATTATTATACTATAAAACAAGAGAAAGTTACTCAGCGTTTGTTCATGAATCATGCTGTGTCTATAGCAGCCTGCATGCAACTAATATAATATAAGCGATTAAAAAAAACACAAAACCGTGTAAATACATGGGTAGAGATAAACTTCTTGTATGGAATAAAAATATTTACAGCTAACACATTCATTCTAAGTTTTTGTGTCGGAAATATGCGCGGACACAATTATGAATGTAAAGAAATCAGTCACATTGTCAGTTATTGCAAATGGTCATAGAAACGAAAAATAAAGCTGGAAAAGTCTGGTGCAGATTCAGTGTCCCTGGAAAGCTAGAAATTATTCTTATTACCCAAT